CCAAGTCATCTGAGAGAAAACCTCGAGACCCAAGCGAACTCCACCTCTGGGGCCGCTGCCTTGTCTCCTGACCCCAGCCTGTCGGGGTGGGTTGTGACCTGACGTGACGTCCACGTGTCTTGCCACGTTGGATGCGCAGGTGCCGAGCGCTTGGATGCAGGACCCGAGCGCTTGGATGCACGCGTGGAGGGGGCGCGGGGGTTCTAGCAACTGGACCCCCAGAGAGTCCAAACTGGAGAAGCCAGTTCCCTTTCGTCTGCATTTGGGCATCCTAGACTATATTGGCGTCCATTGGCCAGTACTGGTCATTCTTGTAATTGCCTTGTTCCCCTGTGGCTCCTCCTCAGCGATACTGTATTGCTAGTATATAAATTCACCAGAGGTCAATTGAAACAACCAACGATGGAGGCAAGTGACTATACAAGGGTGGTTGTTGCAGAAGACTCTTGCACTAGAGTGACGTCTTTAAGACCAACATGTAGGAGCATTTAAAGGTGACGGCCCTTGATGGCAAGATGCTGGACATCCACCTGTCGCACAGTCCACCTCTGTGCACATGTGGATGTCGTATCCTTTTTCTTTTTGGGACATCCATCAGGGCAGGACCCTGTTTCTTTGCTACCCCAGTGCACTTCAGAAGCGGAATCAGGACATGACCAAGCTGCGACGAAGCTTCGAAGTGACCAAGTCGTTTCGGTTGCCGTGACTGTGCAGGAGATGTGGATGGACAGCAACTTCTTGAACAGGCGAGGTTCGTTCTCTGAGCGCTTCTTCGACGGCCTTGCGACGGTCACGAGGCTTTGGTCACCTTTCGACCCTTGACATACAGAGTGTCAGAGTGTACCGGTCATGGGACACCTACTGTTGGTCATGGGATAATATACAGTACATGGATAGATTTCCAAAGTCCCTGTTTCTTCCGGAGTCAGACCAAGCAAGAGAGCTTGTCCCTCTCGCTCGAGTCCGAGATAGTCCGGCGTGCTGTTCGGGGCACAAAAAGACCCCGCAGTAGTTCATCGCTGGCATCTAGTTCCTAGAAAGCTTTTTTGTTACTAGTAGCGATGGCTTCTAGTTACTAGTTACCAATGTTTCTAGTCGTTTCATCGCTGGCAGGCCTCGGAGCGGCTACGGAAGGCGGAGAGTCGGAGGATTTCGGGTGAAAAAAACGGGCGCCCCAATGGTTGGTGGAACCCCTGCGCAGCTGGCAGCTCGCATACTTGGAGTCAGCATGGACCATAACGACCTGTCACGAAGATCGCCTGGTCCGTCTGATCTGTTTTGCGTTGAGGCGTGCTTGCATGGTGAGACTGAAGAGTTGCAGCTCATCCAGAAGGTCCAGCTGTCACCATTTCGTAGTCATGCGTGTCACGTCACGTCAGTCCGCCGAGAAGCTGTCGGATTGCGGTTGATTCCTAGTTTCCCCACGAAAGGTTTGACTCTAGAGAGCATGCAAGAGAGTATTTGGTTCAGATGGAGAGTCTTGAACATTCACACTATTCAGTGAACACTCAATTATTCAGTGAACATTCAGTTAGTATTCACTACACCATCAAGCCACATCTCGATCTCGGGCTTCTCGTTGGTAAGGGAAGTAGCACGGGTGATCAGGTATCCGGCAGTTGCGCTTGCATCGGGCTAGACCACTCACAAGAGCTTGAGGTGGCTGAACACAGTCCACAGTTCACAAATGTGGTGCATCTCCGGATGAAAGAGAAGACTCACCCCACAAGAAACTCTCAGCATTTGGGATGCAAGCAAAATCTGCTCATCCTCCAACACTCAAATCGTGATACCAAGTGTTCTTCATCCAAATCGCCCCACGGCTCATGCAGCGTCAGGAGATGTCGCGGCAGATTGATGCTCTTGCGGCCTGAGGGAAGACCTGCCGCCTTTCATTGGGAGCAGCAAGGGTGCACTTGGCGAGACGGCAAGCTAGAGTCGAATGAGATGAAGAGAGAGAAACTCTAGGTGAAGCTTGGTGGCAAACCCCGCGAAAACGCACCAAGAGATGCTGTTGTTGGGGGTTGGACTCTTCCTTTTAGGTTCACATGGGCCCTTCTCATGATATGTCACACTACTATGCTGCTTAGACCTTCGCAGCCAAGCCTCTTGCCAATGCTCGGTTGCCGAATCTCTGATGCTGCTGCATGTCGAATTCGTTCCTCCTCGCGGGGGGGGGAGGAAGACAGGTTCGGCGTGGGAAAAAATCGGTGTGAAGGGCCCAGTGGAGAGGTTTGGAGCTTCTAGTTTCCAAAAGGGCGCGAATGAATTCCAAACCTCAACATATTTTTGGTGCACTGGTGACAAATCTTTGGTGCCTCGTGGGGAGAGGCTTGAATCAATCTGCCGGACTGAGCTCGAGAGATCCAGCTGGGTCGAGATTGGCGACACTCTCACGGGCCATCCGGGAGATGACGAACAGTAAATAATAAGTACAGTGTCTCTGCTGACCAAGGTGTTTGACGAACGGAGTTCCGTTTGACTTGGATCGTACAGGTTCGATGTCTATTTTAGGCGGGGGCTGATGACCAGGCGGACATCGCTGAATGCTTCGATCATGTTGCACGGATGATGTATGATGATGTTTTTTTGTTGCCACCTTCGCCGGTTTGCCGGGGTGCCTGGTACTTTTGTGCTGCTTTGATGTCGAACACGGACATGAGGAGCAAGTTGTAATACGTACCGTATGGTGGGGGGTGAGGGTAGGGGGTGGGGTAGCCGGGCAATAGATGGTAATGGTAATACCGTACGCGCTACGTAGAACACGGACATGATGGGCAATGCATTTATGTAGAACATGGACACGATTACCAATACAGTTGCAGCAAAACATGCTGTAGCCTAACAAAGAAATACACCAGAAGTACGCACTTGAGATTGGTGTACGTACAGGACCCGAATGCCACTGACCCGAAGAGACCTCGGTGAAAAGAAAAGGAGAAAGCTACGACTTAAAGGAGGGAGATGTTCTCCAGCTGCGACTGAAATGCGCTCAGGATCGACACACACACACACAGCAGGAAGAAGATACTGCGTCCAGTATCTCCTAGCACAGCCAGGTGAACAGTCGCTCCTTCGCAAAGATGATTGATTGCAGGGTGTACAAACGCGCACACACACACACACACCCAGGAGGATTCAAACGCGTGACTGTACGCTGGATCCATCCAAACCGTTGGCCTCTCCGGCTGGTTCGTTGCTCCCCAAACAAGATGGTTGGCCGTTGGTCTTCAACATCGAAGATCAGTGGCACGGGAGGAGCGTGGAAGAAGTAGTTGCCTTAGTCAGATGTACGGTAATATGCAAATATATGTACGTTTCAAACGTTTCTTCGTATGATCTCATGATCTCCAATGTTGCCAAAGGCAACTCTTTGCAGCTATGAGGGACATGTTGTAACGCTGGGCTTGATTGCCTTCGGCAGCCAAAGCTGCCGAGTTACAAAAACAACAGCAACAGCAACAACAAGAAAATAAGACATACACAGGGCTGCTAAGATCTTTCATCCATGGCTGCTAAGATTCTTGGAGGGAGACTCGTCCTGCAACGTCCTGCAAGTTTCGCAGTGAACCATCCAACCATCCCTTGATCATTGAACTCTGTTATACCTTCTCCACGGCTCACTCGCACTTCGCAAAGAACCTTTGTTGGCCGTGGTGCCAGGCTGGAACGCCCGGTATCTCCGCGTCGTCGAGGAGTGCCTGAGGGCTAAGGATGGACACGAAAGATGGCGGAAGACCTACACAGTGTTTGAATGACCACATCAGTTGTTGATTCCCCTAAACACCGAAACTGCATTTCCAACCTGTAGTTCATTCTAGCCTAAATCTTCAGAGAGAACCGCCCCAACCAGTCAACGGAACCAACTCCAACCACTCAACCAATGACCCCCTTCAACGAATGAACCTTTTTAGCCAACCAACCAACCAACCAACCAACCAACCAACCCAACCCAACCCAACCCAACCCAACCCAACCCAACCCAACCC